GCGGCGCGGGGCGTCATGGGAAAGGCGGCGGCTGCCGCCACTGGCTGGACGAGGGGGAGGCCTACCTGGAAACGCCGGGGCCAGGGTGTAGATCTCCCCGGGGCGGGCCCTGGTCTCGTCTGGCCGGAGCGCCCGGGGAAGGGGCTGACGATCCCCGATGCTGGCCAGGGCCCGCTCTCTCCCGGAAGCTGTTACAAGCAAAGACGGGATGTCCCGCCCCCACGCCGTTCATTGATGACGCACTACGTACGGCGCGGTGACGTATGCAGCTTTAAATAAAAGGGACAGGTTTCGGAGGCCAGGAGTGGGCGGAGTCATCGTCGGCCGCTCGCGTCCCTTTGGGGCAAGGACCACGCGTGGCGGGCGGGGTCTCGGACGCGCGTGGGTCGGAGGCGGGGCCTGAAGGGGAGCGCGGAGAGGTGTGGCTTGGCGGCGGGCGCGCGGGCGCGGAGCCGGCCGGCTGGCCCCTTCCCTGGCTCCCGGAGCTGGTCCTGTCTCCAAGCGTGGGTCGGTGGGCTCAGGCGGACACCAGCCAGAAAGCTGTGGCTCCAGGCGGCGTTAAGACGCAGATCGCGCGAGACCTTGGGGTGCAAGGCAGCAGGGGCCAAAAACAGGGAAAATCTCGCGTGAGACAGGGCTCGCTGTGTAGTTCAGGCTGGCATTGAACTCAGAGATTCTCCTGCCTCTGCCTCCGCAGTGCTGAGACTACACAGACGTGTTAGAATCTTAATGTTTTGTTTTATTCTGCTTTATTTGTAGTACTGAGTTTGGATCCAGAGCCTGCATACTGAGCTACATCCCCAGGCCTTTTAAAAAAATGTTTTTGAGACAATCTTACCTTGTCAGGAAGTTGCTCAGGCTGGGCTCCAATCTATCATCCTCCTGCCTCAGCCTCTTGGGTAGCTAGGATGATAGGCTGCACCAAGACACTGTTTATTATTATTATTATTTTTTTGGCAGAACCAAGGGTTGAAATCAGGCCCTTGCGCTTGCCAAGAAAGCGCTTAGTCCACTGAGCCATCTCCCCGGCCCCTCTTATTTATTTATTTAAAATTTATTTTATTTATTTATTTGTGTCTGTGGCCAGCTCAGCCCACCAGGGGGCAGGGCTGGCTGGCATGTGGTGCTGGGGATTGAACCACGGTCCCTGTGCTTTGCTAAGCTTGTTCTAAGTAGGTGCTTTAAACCACTGAGCCATCTCACCAGCCCTATTTTTTTTTTTAATAGGTGCTTTTTTCTGGAAGCAACAGTGCTGCATGGTTGGGCTGATGCTGTGGCTGAGGGGACTCAGCATCTTCCCCTGCTGAGGGTAAGATCCTTTTCTCAAAGGCCTTTCTGCTCTGCCAAGTAAAAATAAGAGCTGGGGGGCAAGGGCTCACCCAGCACTCAGGAGGCTGAGGCAGGAGGATTGCTGGAGTTGGAGGCCAGCCTGGGCTACAGTGAGTACAAGTCCGGTTTGAACTACATGGCGAGACCCTGTTTCAAAACAAAACACCCCTTGGGGGCTGGTGAGATGGCTCAGTGGTCTAGAGCACCTCCTTAGAACAAGCTTAGCACCACATGCCAGCCAGCCCCGCCCCCTGGTGGGCTGAGCTGGCCACACACACACACACACACACACACACACACATAAATAAATAAAAATTAAAAACAAAAAACAAAACACCCTAAATTAAAAGAAACTAAAATCTTTCACCTGGAATGGTGAGGGTGTGGTCCTGCTCACCCAGGGTATAGGCTCTTACACCCCTGAAAGGGAGTCTCCAGGGAGGCGGAGGCCCCAGAGCTGCCGCCACTTCTGTGTGGCTCCTACTCCTGATGCGGCCTCCAGTCAAAGGACAGGAGTAAAGGCAGCTGAGTCCCCGTGCCACCCACAAGCCCTCCCACGGCCTCTAGGAATGGTGGCTCAGGCAGAACATGTGGAAGCCACAGAAGGCGCAATGGGGGTGCGCAGTCACAGGTCACCTCACGACTGCCTCTCGCATTCCAGGGAAACAGCACTTACTAGTGTCCGAGTCTTAGTTACATTTTCTTACTGCTCGGCAAGATATCAGACCCCCAAAGTTAAAGGGGGAAACGTTTACTTAGCTTGGCGTGTTGAGGTTTCAGTCCATGGTCCGCTGGCCCAGGCAGGGGTGTGTGGCAGAGGGGCACCTCGGAGGAGAGACAGCCTGCGGCTGCGAGCAGAAGGCAGCAAAAGTGAGGCAGCAGCGAGCACCACGCAGGGAGCCCCGGCAGCCGCCTGCTTTCTGTCCCTCCTCGCATCCCGTCCAGCCTGCCCACCGGCGGCGGCGGCGGCGGCGCCACCCAGAGTAGAACATGCTTAGCGTTGCTCCGGGAACTGATCCCAGCAGCACGACCAGGTCCAGCCTCCACCTGAATAAAGGTAAACTGAAGCGCTCTGTTTTACTTTTTATTTCTTTAAGTCAGCGTCTCTACATAGCCCAGGCAGGCCTCAAACTTGCAGCAGCTTTCCTGCCTCTGCCTCCTGAGTGCTGGGACTACAGACTTGCGCCACCACGCCTGGTGCTTTCGACTGGGACCAGAGGAAGTGAGAGGGCCGGGGAGTGGCTCAGTGGAATAAGCGCTTCCCTGGCAAGTGCAAGGGCCTGAGTTCAATCCCCAGTTCTGCCAAAAAAAAAAAAAAAGAAGAAGTGAGAGGAGAGCCAGTTGGTGGCCCCCCATGGCCTCAGAGGCCCCTCGGGGACCGCACGCATCGCCTGTCGCAGGTGTCCTGGACCTGGTGTGGTGGTGCAGTGCCGGCTGTGGGAATCAGCCCCAGGTGGAGGCTGAGGAGGCTGTGAGGTGACTTCAGTCCCAGGGAAGGCTCTGTGCAGAGGGCGGTGGCACCATGGCACCCAAGCAGTGGTGGTGCAGTGCCGTACCCCGAGCAGAGCGGTCAGGTTGGCAGCAGGCGGGAGGAGACGGAAACGAGGCAGAGTGGCCATGCGGCACCCATGCGCCGCGGGTCCTTCAGCTTTCTGTGTGCTGTGTTTCTGTGGCACTGGGGGTGGAACAGAAGGCTGCGTGCAGCCAGGCAGCCAGGCCAGGGCTCTGGCCTAGGCTGCACCCCAAACCCTTGGATCAGCTTAGATTTTGGCCCAAAGATGGGGTGGGGCTGCTGGAGGGGTGATCCGCAGGAAAGAGTTTCTGGTGGCTGGACAGGTGTGTGGGTGGCAGGGGAGATCAGCGACATGAGGCACCGTCTTGGGCAGCCAGAGCGGGGTGCGGGGCAGTAGTCAGGGCCAGCGAGGGTTTCTAGGTGGGCAGCCGGGTCACTCAGTGTGGCCCTCCACACGCAGCAGCAGGAAGTCCTGGGTTGCCAGGGGCAGTGAGAGCTGGGCAGCAGCCTCGAGGCACCGGCCTCCAAGCTGGGCACGTACAGCCAGGCGGGCCAGGTGCTGCAGCTGCCGTGGTGGGTTCAGCACGCGCAGGGCTGAGCTGTAGAAGGCTTCGTGCTCCTGGGCAGGAGAGGGGGTGAGCTCAGGCCCCCAGACCATTCTGTCCTTCCTCTTGCCCAGCCCACAGTGGCCACAACTGTGAGGATGCAGAGCCAGAGGCCCTGGTGGCCAGTGGTGGGATCCACACTGCAGGGCAGGATCTCAGGTGCTGCCCAGGAGCGCTGGTGCCATACCTGGGTCGGAGGTAGCCTGGGCTGCTGGACAGCGGTCACCATCCAGGTACGCTCCTCCTGTAGCGCCCTGAGCCATCCCTCCCTGCCGGGGCTGACGCACCTGCCACACCTCCGGGAGCACAGCCTGTAGCCAGGTGTCACAGCTCGGCACGCCGGGTAGGCATTCAGCAGGACTTCCAGGGCCCATGGGCGGCTGGCACAGTGCTTCAGCATCTTGGGGTCAGAAAGAGCCTCAAAATCCTTGTCTGGTGCCCCGAGGGCCTCGATCACCCCAGGTCCCCACCCATGCAGTCATCCTTCCCTGTGCTTCAGTTTGCCCTCCAGGATGCTCCAAACTTTTGGCTGTTTCCTTTGGGCTATGTCCCCATCCCCATCCCTATCCCCATCCCCGTCCCCGTCCTCATCCCTCCCTGTCCCCATCCTCATCCCTCTCCGTCCCCGTCCTCGTCCCCATCCCAGTCCCTACCCATACCTCCGGGTGTGCAAGCTCAGCACCATGGTTCAGCAGTGTCACTCGTGGCCTGTAGTGCGCATTCTAGGGGCGTGAGCCCTGAGGCGTTGGGGGCCTTGGCACATGCCCCGTAGCGCAGCAGCAGCTCGGCCAGGTGGCTGTGGCCGTGCGCGCATGCATGATGCAGAGGCGGGTGGAGCTTGCACCCGGCCACGCATGGGTCCACTCCAGCCTCCAGTAACCGGCGCACAGCAGCCTCATGCAGCCCTTAGCCCCAGGCTCAGCGCCAGCACACGCTGCACTCTGCCGTCTCCCCACGGCCGGTGCACACATCCACATGGGCACCCTGTGCCAGGTGCAGTGCCACGTGAGCCTCCAGCCCCCGGGCGGCTGCCACGTGCAGTGGAGTCACCTCGTCCTCTGCCGCCAGGTTCACAGTGGCCCCTGAGTCCAGCAGAAGCTTGGCACACCTGGGGAAAGAGGCTGCTGTCAGGCTTGCGGTCATGGTCACACGCGAGGTCCGTAAGCAACGTCAGTTTGGGGGTGAAAAGGTTCTGTGCGGCAGCGCTAGCGGCGGCCAAGTGCAGCGCCAAGTCCCCCAGTGCGTGCAGGGCACCGAGGGCGTGGCCTGGATCATGTGCCAGCACCAAAACGTTTCCGCAGCCAGAGGTCTTGGAATCGGTCCCTGTTCACACTCTGACACACGCGATTCAGGCGCACGTCTGTTCTCTCCGTGCTCCAGAGGCTGAAGCATGGGCACAGTGTGGACTCCAGACTGGCCTGTGCTGCGCAGCAAAACTTTGCCTGAAAATAAATTAATGAATTAATTAATGGCCTTTTTATTTTTTTATTTTAATTTTTTTTTTATTTATT